TTTGCGTAGACACAAAACTGACGTTCGTCGACGATTTTTTTGATGAAAGCTTTGCACTGGTCTTTGAAAATAGTGTTTGTGGATTTTTCATATAAACCAGTCAAATAAGTCCAAACAGCTTCATTGTTTGAGGCTTTGTGAAGAGTTTTTTCGATCAGACGAAGCTCGTTGGGTAATTTTTCGGAGTCGTTGAGGAACCCTAAGACTTTCAAAGTGTAAAATCTGTGACTCCAGGCGGAATTGTTGCGGACATCAGCGTCGATCATCTTTTCAGTGTATTCCAACTCCCCCGCCCAACAATTGAATTTGTTACAAACCCACACCCGATGACTCCAACAGTGATAATTCTTGTTGTCATCTTCTAACATCTTACCGGTGAACTCTAACTCTTTGACATAATCATTTGTCAAAGAAACTAAGTACTGACGATGACCCCACACTTGATAATTCTTACAGATGTGATCACCTAACTTTGAAATGAAGTCGTACTCATCAGATGTGTTGAAGGATGGCTTGCTCTTTAATATACGACGACGATAATACCACGCAGTGTAATCCGCACTATTCATTTGAATGATCACACCTGTGAGAAGAAGAGCTCGGTCGGATAACTCGTCGCGCGCCATTATAGCTCGATAATATGACATCGCTTCTTTGACTATTGTGTTATTATTATATTGTTATTATTATAATATTCAAAACTAATGCATTCTAATCAAAATATAACAAACACTTGTCAGAGTAATTGATCGAACAGACGGGAGCTATGGGCACTATTGTAGGTTGAATGTCTTTAAATATGGAAATGTCTAAAGTAATTTCATCGTCACTACTATCTTCAAGTTCCATTTCTGATTTTAAAGTTCATACTTATTATTATTATAGTTTTTGAGGAATTAAATCATTTTAATAGTTCTTTGTGTCATTATTTTATTCGTACTTATACAGTAAAACCTCCCAAGAGCGGTACCTCACAAGAGCGGCTCTTTCAAGAGCGGGCATTTTTTAGACTGAAACTAAAAATAGAGTTCTCTATCGAGCCGTTTATAAGGTTTGATTGGCTAAAAATGCCCGCTCTTGAGAGAACAAAATTACCACACCCTCCCGCTCTTGGGAGGTTTTACTGTAGTTCTATTGATATCTCAAACCAAAAATGTTAAGTTTTATTATTATTATTATTTTTTTTATTGTTAATTTTTTTTAATTGTCTAATGAAGGAAACAATTTAAATTAAAGTGACTTCACAAGGTGTGCAAGTTAAGGTATAGTTCATTTATAATTTTTTTATTAAAAAAATAGAATCATTAATTTTTTGAAATTTTGAAAAAAAAAGATTATTTTTAGTTTAATTATTAATTATAATTTTAAAGTTATTACTAAACTATACTTTAACTTGCACACCTTGTGACGTTGCAATTTTAATCTTTCACACTTCGAATACAATTAATTAAGCAACAATTTCGGGAAAGCGACCCAATGGAAATTATCGAAGGACCAGTTCTGGACAACAGTGCACATCGATTTGTAACAATGAACTGCACCTATTAAACAGACTATTTGTTATTGTTTGCTATAAAATGGCACAGAGAAAAATATAATGTTTATCATACTTCTTCTTGTCGCTTTGAATTACGCTGACACAAGAGACATCGACATTTATTCACGTCTTGAAACAAAACAGTTTTTACATTAAACACAGAGACAAACCACTACCCAATTTTTATAATTTAATTTGCTTTTTGTAGTTTATTAATTCAAGCACCAAAGGGTTGTGTGTTTTTTGAAACAATTTGGAAACGAATAACATTTTTTAATAAAATGTTTTTGAACTAAAATTTAGTCTTGCACGCCCTTTCCCTGTAAAAAAGACTAAAAATTTTAACTTGCACACCTTGGGGAAGTCACTTTATATTTAATATAGAGTTAGTCGGAAAACGTTGTCCTGGGCTTTTTAGTCAATAAAAATTGGAAAATATCGGGATCATGTTCGAAATATAAAAAAATCGTCGTTTCAGTTTTTTTCCTAAATTTTTTCCAATTTTTTCAATTTTTACCTAATTCCCGGGGTTTTAACAATTATTTGTGTATAAATTGATAAAAAGGACAACGTTGGCGACTGGGACAACTTTTTACAACAAACTCTATTTAATAATTAATTTGTTTATTAATAAATATTATTAATTTATTTAATAAATATATTTATCATAAAATAATTATAATAGTTAATAAAAACAAATTAATCTAACTTATAATTTAAACTACCATTAAATAACTTTTTAAAAAACAAATTAATTGAGATTATTTTTATTAGAATTATTAAAATAGAAATGTTTGAATGGATTATCACTATTTAAAATATTAATTATAAAAGTATTATTTAATATAATAATTATACTAATAATTCATTTTGTTATTATTTTGTTGTACAGAGTAACAGAGGTTTATTATTTTTCATAATTTGAAAAAAACAAATCCTTTTTCAAAAAGCTATAAAATATAGTATAATAAACAAATAAAAATAGTTAAATAAAAGACAAAAGAGGCATATATGGCGCGTAAGCAACAGAAGATGCCAAATGACGGAAACAAGCTCGACATTGTTCCAACCCAATCAACATTTAGTTTTTCATTGTTCCAAACAATTCGATACGTTATTAAAGCAAAATCTGTTAAAATCAAAGTAAATGTTCCTTATGTTGATTGTTTTGCTTTCGTTAGTGTATGCCGACTCGAACCCAAATTGCCCTTCTGCTTATTGCTCACAATGCACCGGTACACTTTGTAATGCGTGTATTGACAATTACGTTTTAGTTGATGGAGAATGCAAGTGTTTGTTTTTGTCGTCTATTTCTTCTTATTTAAAATCAATAAGTGAATGTGCAATGACACGTAGATGCAAGAGAAGCTATTGAACATTGCTATAAGGCAAGTAACAGTATTTGCACAAAATGTTTTGACGGGTACTATGCCAAGAATAACGCATGCATCAAGGCCGATCCCAATTGTGATGAATACAAGAATGGGATATGTGTTGAATGTGAAGATGGATATGCTCCCATGTTAGGTGTATGCACCAAGTGTCAAGTCAATGGATGTGAAGAGTGTGAAAATGACTTCTCAAAATGCACGGAATGTCTTGATGGGTATACTTGGGATGGAAAGGCGTGTATCCAGCCGGTAGCCAATTGTGATGATTATGAACATGGCGCCTGTGAAGAGTGTATTGATGGGTATTACCTTACCAAGGGAAAATGTGAGAAGATTCCTGTCGACAATTGCAGAAAATATGAGAATGGAAGATGCACAAAGTGCTTTGGACCCTTCAAACCAGTAGATGGAAAGTGTACATCTTCTGTTGCACCAGTCATTGAACATTGTTTACAATATGATGACAACGAGTTTGAGTGTGAATTATGTGAGGAGGGGTATTCTCCAAATGATGGAGACACTGCTTGCATCAGTTTGTTTCATTCTTTGTTATTAAAAGTATTAGAACCCTTGTTAGTACATTATCAAGTGATGTTGAAATGACACACAGAGTGCAGTGATTCATGTAAAACGTGTGATGAAAGACCATCCAAATGTGAGTCGTGTCATGAAGGATATTGGCTCGATGATGAGACATGCAGACAATGTGCTGTTACTAAAGGAGTCTGTTCCACATACACAAAGAAGGATCAATGCTACTCATGCAACCACTTGTGTGGATGGAACGGACAACAGTGTGTTGAGTCACATTGTGAAATTGGGAGAAGAAGATGAGGAGGACTATGAGTGCCAGAGATGTAAAGCTGGCT